AGTGCGCATGCGGGAGCGCGCCCGCCCCTGCCCCACAACCCCCCATTAATCCCCAAGAGAACAAACACCCCACGCGGCCCCCCCGCCCTCCGCGGAAGGATCTGCGCCTCTTCCCAGGGCACTGGTGGCCAATCCCAGCCCTCCGGGGGAGGGGTCCTTCCAAAGCCACAATCTGTTGGGGGAGCCAGGAATGCCAAGTCCGGGAGGGGCCAGCCCCAAAAGATGAAAGTCGCGACTTGCCCTGCCCCGCCCCAAAGGCTTCCCGAGTAGGGTTCTGGGACTTGACCCTCCTCCCCAGGTCAACATGTCACAACAAGACCTCGGCCTGTCAAGTCACATGACCTCCGCCTGTCACTGACAACCTGGTCTGTCTTTAGGCCAGTAGAGGCCATCTGGTCCAGCCCCCACCTCCATTCACAGAAAGGGAAATGGAGGTCTGGAGCAACGGTGCAGATGGATCTGTCACTGCCACACCATCCAGTCACAACCGGTCTCAGAACAGTTTCTGTTTAGATAAATTCTGGCTGCCCCATGAGGGTATGACAGGCCAGGTAACAGGCCACCACGAAGCCTGTTTTCATACTAGAAAAATACTTTGCAGCTTGCATAGTGCTTTCCACTTTTGTTCAAGTTGCTTCCAAGTTCATGATCATAGTGCTCTCATTTACCTTCACAACTTATCTTTACAAATGAGAGCGGTAGGATCGCCAGGGAGGCCAGGAAGCTGAGGCCAGAATCTGGGCTCTTGACAGCCCGTCCAGGGAAGTCATGGGCTCAGCTCAGCTGCGCTCACGTCCGGGCAGCTCGGCTCCCCTGGAGGTCGCGACCTGACACCGAGGAGATTGGTGCCGGTGCCAGCTCTGCAGGGAGTCCCGGGATTTGCTCTCTGGGACGGTAAAAGGGAGGGTCTTGGTCTTTGCAAGACACAAAAGCACACGGGGAAAAATAAGGGGGAAAATAGAATCGGGCTTATTGAGCAAACATGGATTCTGGCATGTCGAGGGCTATCTGAAACTGTATTATAAAAATGAAAGGTGCTCTTCTGAAACCGAGAAAGTCTATCAAGCGCATTCCAGTACCTCCGCATCATTTGGGGACGTTAGATGGTTAAAAGAGGAGACCACTTTAATGTCAATCCAGGTGGATGGATGTAAACTTTCAAAGGGCAGTGATTCCAGGGCCTAGGTACCCATTCGCTGGGAGGGGCCAAGGAAATGGTAGTCTCTTAAGGTAAAACGGAGGTAACGCTACGTGGACAAAACAGCAGCTTCGTGGGGTACAAGTTGCTGTGAGGTGTCACACAGTAGCCTAGGGGCCGCCACAGTTGATAGCCGTTGGGGCCGTTGGATGCCCGGAGCTGGCGCCCCGCCCTCTCCCCTCTCCCCCACCCTCCGCACCTCCCACCACTCTCGTTGTCCCTGCGCGTGCGCGCGCAGACACCGGTTGCCAAACATTGCATCCCCCCTCTACACTCCCCTCCGCGCGCGCGCATGACTCACCCACCGCCTCCGCGAAGCCGCGTGACCCAAAGCTACTTCCGGGTCCAACACTACGTCGACCTCCTGGCGAGAGGGCGCGATGGAGGCGGTCCTACGAGCTTCCTGAGTGGCGGTTGTGAAGAATGAGGCGGGGCTGATGCCGGCGTGCCGCCTTATGATTGGTAGGCTTCTGGATCCCGCCCCCGAGATGGGGGGGGCAAGGCCGTGTTAAAAGATATCTGCTCAACTCCCTCGAGGTCAGAGGCTTGAGTGTAAGACTGAGAACGTATCATGTTGAAGATGAGCTGGTGGCAGCGAGAAAGCCAAAATCAGAACCGGAACCTGAGGAGAGAGGCGAGTACTAACTTCCTATCTGCCCTTTACTTTCCGGTGTTTACGAACTTCGGTTGTGCTCTCCAAAGTTGTGGCGTTCTTTCTTTCGGATGTGGCCCCACCCCCTCTGCAATAAATTTAGGGACCGTCAAAGGGAAGGATGGACAGAATCCTTTATTAAAGTGTGGTGCTTACAGGCCCTTTTTCCTTTTCCTGACTCTCTTCTTCCCAAACGGGCTGTGCTGCTCAGTGCTGCTATTGCCATGCGAAAATTTTTTCCTGTCGCCGTCTCCAGGCCACCTCCTTTGGTCTGTCCGCTGAGAGGCGGGGCAGCAGGACACATCCCCTCTTCTAGACTGGTGACCGTAGCTCAGGCAGTTCCGACGCTTTGCCACCAATGACATTCCCTCTGTACCACCCCCAATCCTGGCTCAGCTGCAGCGCCATAATGAGGTGTAGTATCTGGGACCCCTGGTGCCCAAGATGATTGGAGAACCTTGAGACTGATCCAGCTCTTTGGGAGCAGGGGTACGGATGGACCAGGAGCGGGGATGGGTTTTCCCTTTTTCGCAGAGGTCGCTGGGCCACCCACATAAGAGAGCAGCCTGGATCGCTTTCAGTGTGGGAAGCCATTTGGGGTTTCCTCAGGGTATTGCCCTCCTGGGATTGGTCCCTACCTCTTTCTCCCCTCCTGTCTCCCAACTAATCTCTGTGTAACCATTGCGTCAGGTCAGCCCCCTGTTTGGCTCTACAGCCCTCTAGACTGGGGCTCCACTGCTGATGAAAGCCACGTCCCACACAGGAGTTTTCCCCGAAGAGAACAGCCCTGAAGAGAAACACAGAGCAATATTGCATCTCTAGTCCCTAGGCACAGGCAGCTGCCTATACCTCTGGGTTTAATTCTCTTTCCCTGTTGTGAGACTAGGAGAGATTTTTTTCATTCATTCCAAATACTGACTGAGCACTGACCATGTGCCATGCAGTTTGGGACTGAGGGTATATCCCTGAATGAGAGAAAAAAAAATCTCTAGTGTCAAAGAACTTACATTTCGGTGGGAGATGTAAGTGCCACGGAAAAAAACTAAAGCAGAAAAGAATAATGTTTAGTGGAATTTCCTTACTGAGGTGCTATTTAATTGAATAAAAGACCCAAAAGAGGAAAGCCAATGAGCCATGCAGATAATGTGGGAGAGCATTCCAGAAGTATCAGCCAGAGCAGAGGTCCTAAGATGGGAGTATGCCTGGTACCTTTAAGAATAGGCTTGGGGACTGCACTTGAGCAAACAGAATGGTTGAAGAAAGCTCAGGAGCAGCAAAGATGCAGGTTGTGTAAAGCCTTAAGTCAGCTTGAGAACATTAAGTCTTTTGGGGAAGGATAGGGGTTGAGACAGTCTTATTGCATAGTTCAGGCTGGCCTTAAACTCTTTTATGTAGCCCAGGCTGACCTTGAATTCACAGTGATCCTCCTGCCTCATGCTCCCAAGTGCTAGGATTACAGATGTGCACCACCATGCCTGGCTGAATGTTAGTTGTTAATACTCATATAAGTAAATCTTTGTAAGTTTTTGTTACTTGGGGTTGAACTCGGGGACTTCGCACTGAACTACATCCCCACCTCATTTTTTATTCTAAGAGAGGGTCTTGCACAATTATCCAGACAGGGTTTTAACTTGCAGGCAACCTGCCTCAGCCTCCAGAGTGCCACAAATGACACTATGCTGACTTGGAGGGGTTTTTGCTTTTTGTACCTGGGATTGAACTCAGGACCTTGTGCTTGTGAGGCAGGTGGCAGCACCACTGAGCTAAATCCCTGGCCCTGGAGGGTTTTGAGTAGAGGATTGACCTAAGTTTTATTTTTTTGAGACAGGGTCGCACCATATAGTTTGGGCTGGCTTTGAACTCACAATGTAGCCTATGTGGACCTCAAACTTGCAGTGATCCTGCCTCAGCCTCCCAAGTAGTGGTATTACAGGTGTGCACCACCACTCCCACCGTACCCCACCCCTAGCCTGACCTAAGTTTTAAAAGGCCTGGGAATATAGCACACTGGTAGATATTTAACCTAATACAAAATGTGCAGCACTGCAAAAGCGAATGAATAAAAGGCTCACTCTAGTTGCTACATTGTGGATAGGGCTGGTGGAGAGAAATGTGGAAAAATCCTTTCAGATTTCTGAAATAATACAGGGGAGATAGTGGTAAATTGGTGTACATTTAGAAACAGTGGAATTAGTAAGAAATGCTTAAGTTTGGAGTATTTATAAAAAATGTGTTAACCTGGGAGTGTTGGTACACACCTGGAGACTGAGGCAGGAGGATCACAGAGAGGGCTACAGTGAATTCAGGACCAGCCTAAAATGCATAGCACCCTTTCTCCAAAAAAAAAAAATAAATAAATAAAATAAATTTGCTAAGAGTGTGGATAGTGGGGTATGAAGGAGTCAAGGGTAATACCAAAGTTTTTGGCTTGAGGAACTAGTTTCCATTTATCAAGATAGGGACAGCCTTGGAAAGGAAAAATCAGCAAGATTGTTTTGGATGTAATCCAAATGCCTATTAAATATACAAAAGAAGATGACAAATGGACGATAGGCATTAGAGCTAGAGATCCCAAGAGAGGTCCTGACTGGAAATGTACATTTGGAGGATGTCAGTGTGGGAATGGAGTTAGGAAAATACCTATCTTTGTTTTCTTCCCTGTAATTTAGTTCTTAACATGGCAGGCATGAGACCTGCCTTGAATTTAGAGAAAGCTAAGTTGGCCAGTACTATGCTGTTGTGTAATCAGGACTACAAATGTCAGTAACTAAAAATAAAAAGTTGAACTCTCCTCTATCCTTGGAAATGGCTACAGGACCCATTTAATTATCTGCATCTCAGAAGACTGAAGTAAGGAGGGACCCATAGGAGGCTGGAGGTAAAGAACCTGCCTCTCCCTCTTCCAAAAATGGCTGACATTTGTGTTTGTTCTCCACAGTCTTCCAGGAGAAAGTGTATCTTCATACATCACCACACCTGAAAGCAGGTAAATTTTAACTCACCCTTTTCTAAAACCAGCTCATAAGGAAAGTTACTTAGGCTGCCTTGCTGGGATCCTAGGAAGTTATTAAAGGACCTAGCCAAGGTGGAAGAGGAAGGTTTGAATCTGTCAGACCCCATCTGTCCTCCTGGCCTACCCCATAAAATAAGGTCAAAAATCAATGTTTTTAGAGCATTTCCTAATTGAAAGTTGGCTCTCAAAGTCAGCCCCAATAAAGACAATTGGTTTGTCTAATTCTTAGTCCCCATCAAGATTAAATAGACTCAAAGGACCCTTTTCCCATGTTCCCCACATAGAAGAAAGAAGCACAAATGGTCTGGTCATTGTCCCCAGAAACTACCAGTGGAGTTCTCAAGTGGACTGAAGACTGATTAGGATCCCATAAAAATGTACATCCAGGTACTTCGCTTCTTAAAGTCCTGGGCAAAGAGCAAGTAAGAAACACCAGTATTATGCTATTGGCATAGCTCAGAGCACATGCTTGGCATCCACAAAGCCCAGGGTTTAACCCTCACCACCACCCCACCCCCCAAAGGAAAGAAATACTAGTGTAAAGACTGGTAAAAATTTTTTTTGTGTGTGGTACCTGGGGTTCAAATTCGGGGCCTTGTGCTTGCAAGGCAGGCAGCGGACCACTGAGCTAAATCCCTGGCCCCAAAGACTGATAAATTTTGAAGAGCCAGAGAGTAAATAATTTTGGCATTTAGGGCTGTATAGTCTTGTCACCACTATTCATCCCTGCTCTTGTAGCATTAAAGGAGCTAGAAATCATATATAAATAAACATATGGCTGTGTTGATAAAAATTTTATCTACAGAAACAGGCAGTAGACCAGTCTGCCAGCCTCTGCTACAGGCTATTTGTTGCTAAGTGGAGCTTTTACTCTAAATGTATATTTTTTTCAGAACCTGATCCAACTGCAGAGATGGCAGCTGAATCATTGCCTTTTTCCTTTGGGGCAGTGTCCAGCTGGGAGCTGGAAGCCTGGTATGAGGACCTGCAGGAAGTCCTGTCCTCAGATGAAAATGGGGGTAACTATATCTCACCCCCTAGAAACGAAGAGGTAAGAAATCTAGTCCTAAACTTGAGAACAAGTGTGTGGGGTGTGCATGCCTATAATCCCAGCACTGAGAAGGGTGAGGCAGGAAGATTGCCAAGAGTTTGAAGCCAGCCTGAGCTACACAGAGAGTTCAAGGCCAGTCTGAACTATGTGCAAGACCCTGTCTCGGATATAATAAAAACAGAACTAAAGCTGAGAAGGGGGTGATGTTACCTTTCCCTTGTCCTAATTAATACCCTCTTTCTCATTTCCTTGAAGGAAGAATCAAAAACATTCACCACTCTTGACCCTGCATCTCTTGCTTGGCTGACTGAGGAACCAGGACCAGCAGAGGTCAAAAGCACCTCTCAAAGCCCTCACTCTCCAGATTCCAGTCAGAGCTCCCTAACTCAAGAGGAAGAGGAAGACCAAGGAAAAACCAGAAAACGAAAACAGAGTGGCCAGTGGCCAGTCCGGGCTGGAAAGCAACGCGTGAAGGAAAAAGAACAAGAGAATGAAAGGAAAGTGGCACAGCTAACAGAAGAGAATGAACGGCTCAAGCAGGAAATTGAGTACCTAACCAGGGAAGTAGAGGCAACGCGCCGAGCTCTGATTGACCGAATGGTTAATCTGCACCAGGCGTGAACAAATAGGGGCATCACTCCCCAGCTCTGGCTACCTTCCACCTTCCTTTCCCAGAAGTAGCTATTGACCACCTTCATACCAGTGCCAATGATGTGACCCTTAAATGCTTGGGGTAGACAAAAGGAAAGGGTCTCAGCTTGTATATAGAAGTTGTACATATATTTATTATTGTCCACAGCCATTAAAGTGACTTTTGTGACTTTATGAACCAAATTCTCTCACTTTTTCTTCTTGCCTTTAGGAGTTTCAAGGGGTTTTCCCTCCGCTAGAGCCAATTGTTTCTTTAGATCCAAGAGTTTAGCCACCTCTGCAGCAACCTGGTTCTTGTCTGCCTTTTGTGCTTTCAGTTCTCGGACAGTGTTGCCCTAAAAAAAGGAGGGAGGGGGCAGTGAGACCACAAAAGGACCTGTTTAGAATTCAGCTTTCCCAGTCTCCCAGAGGGGTTAAGCTTCATACCTGTTTTGTGACTTCATCCATCAGTGTTTGAATCTGCTGTGGCCCAGCTGTTGTAACGGTCTCTACAACTGCTGGTGTGGGTGACACTTTTGCCTGGAGAACAAACAGAGTTATCACTGGCTACCATAAATATCCTCTGATCTCCAGTTTTACATAACAGATAAAGTGTTTACCTTCAACTCCAAGGACTCTTCTAGCTAAGATAGGAAAGGAAAAAGTAAGTGAGGAAGCAGGAAGGCCCAAAGATGGAAAGTGCTAAGGGCTACTTGAGGAAACTAAGGTGCTGATGTGGCTGTCACTGGGTGAAGGCACAGTCTAGCGCTCTCACCTGGCCCCCTCCAAAACGCTGTTTCAAACTTTCAATCTGGTCATTTTCCAATTTTTGGAACAAGGGACTGACCTGTGAAAAATAATTCCAGAATCATTCACTGGTTATACATAAACTCTACCACACTATACAGAAAGCCTCTCCAACCCCACTCTTTAACATTCAGAATAACACTGAACAAATAGCTGCTACTGGTTTCAGGAAAGCATTCAATACTAAGCCCAAAGTATCACAGGATCAAAGAATTTAACAATTCGAGGTTCATCCAGTACTTAGGCTACCCTGCATTTTCCTCACCCACTACTAGGTGATCGTGGTGTTTCTTAAATCAGTGATATTCATAGACCAGGTAGGTACTAGGTCCTGGTATGCAGAACAGTAAGGATATACAGATAATGCTCAGCTTGCAAACAGATACTAAAGACTTAATGTCAGAAACAAAGCCCAGGGCCAAGGATTTAGGTGCCGCTGCCTGCCTGGCAAGTGCAAGTTCCTGAGTTTGATCCCAGATACAAAAAAACAAACCCAAGTACAGAGTGGAGAAGGTATTCAGAAAACAGCTGTTAAGAGCTCCATGCCCCAAGCAGAGCTGGAGAGATGCAAGTCTTAATTCCATACCATAGGCTCCATGACAAAAGCATGAATATTAAGGCTGGCTCTTAGACTTACTGTGCCAATCTGGTGCCCTGCTGGTAAGGTACACACGAAGTCTGTGAGAAGGATGCTGCAGGCTGGAAGTGGGAGCTGCAACTGGGCTTGGATGGTGGCACTAACTGAGGGCATGTAAGGCTCAAGCATGACAGACAGCAAGGCAGCTATGTTCACTGCCATGCCTGTCACTGTGCCCGCCCGCTGCCTGAGGAAGGAATGAGATTAATCAAAACCTCAAGGAGGACATAAACTGACAGCTACTTAATTCCTGGTAGCCAGCCCTATCCTCTTGCTGTACCTGTCAGCCTCACTGCCTTTTATCTGCTTCCACGGCTCATTGACCTGAATATACTGGTTGCCATGTCGAGATACTGTGAGAATACTGCGTAAGGCATCCCGGATCCTGGAAAAGGTGGTGGGTCTCAATATGCAAGTGTCTTGTCACTTAGATGAGACAAGAGGTGTAGATTACTCACCGAACCTTCTCTAGCAGCTGGTGATAGTTCTGGAGCTCCAAGGTGATACGGGCCAGCAGACGCTGATCGTCAGGGGTAAGCACCATCTCAGGCACATAGCCCCCAAAAAATTTAGACACAAACATCCCAGCTCTTGATGGGAGTAGGAAAGAGGGAAAAAGTTATTTTCTGGTCTCCTTTTAGAAATTTGACCCAATTTCCACGCTTCCTTCTCTCAGGATTCCTACCTAGAAATGACACCTTCTGACTCCTTAAAGTAGAAAGCATAGCTTAAATTCTTGGGTTCTTATTTTTGTTCTTTTGGTTTTTTGAGACAGCGTCTTGGTATGTAGTTTAAGCTGGTCTTGAACTCACTATGCTGCCCAGGCTGGCCTTGAACTCTTTCTTGGCAATCCTCCTGCCTTCACCTCCCAACTACTGGGATTACAAGTGTGGGCCACCACATCCAGCACAAATTTCTTTGTACTCTGTCTCCTCTAAGAATTTGACTGTTATGGCTGGGGATTTAGCTCAGTGGTTCTGCAGCCTTCCTCACAAGCAGAAGGTCCCGAGTTCAATCCTCGGTACCAAAAAAAAAAAAAAAAACTAAGAATTTGACTCTTGATAAAGTTTAACTATACTTTTTTGGGCAGGGGCCATATTGAGGATTGGAACCATGCCTGGCTAGTAATTGGACACTAAAAAAAAAATCGTTTTTAAATGAAGTTGAAAGGTATTATTGTGAACTGCTATCAAAAAAGTTCTCTAATGAAGACTTACCTATTAAATGTGGCTGATGACCAAACCTGAAAGGACTGAGCTAAAGGCCTTGGGCTCTGAGAGAGGGACTGAAGAACTCTAAGCCATGAAGGACGTGTTTTTGGATTGCAAAATCACTATAATAGCTACCAACAGTAGAATGTGGAATGTGAGCCTAAGGTAACAGCTCTGAAAAGTATAACAGAACCATCCTATCACAACACAAAAATAGCTCCTTTTTCCAACCTAATTTTTCTAGTCTGCAGGTGAATGTTTTAACAGTAGAAATCCACTCTGGGAAGAGCTGGGCATGGTACCTCATGCCTATAATCCCAGTGCTTAGGAGGTTAAGGCAAGTTTAAGGCCAGCCTTGAACACAGTGAGACCCTGTCTCAAAACATCCATTTGTGGACCAACTCTGCAAAATGACACCTCTAGGTAACTACCCTCAAGCATTTGTGGGATACTATGTTCTGGAAGCAGGTCCCAGTTAATAGAAACCAAATTTCCACATTATCCTGTCCCTCACAGCTTCCTGTCCACTTATTTTCTCCACATTTCTATCTCTGGAAGGAGAACTGGCCTCTGCCCAGCTCATCTGCTGACACTGACCCCTCACCAAGACTCACCTGTTGATGAAGTTGCCCAGGTTGTTGAGCAGCTCTGAGTTGTTCTTCAGCAGCATATCTGCCCAGGAAAAGGCGCTGTCCTGGCCCTCAGGTCGAATGTATAGCAGGTAGAAGCGCCAGATGTCGGCAGGGATCCCTGTGTTCTGGGCCATGTCTCCAAACACTCCCACACCTCGGCTCTTCGAGAATTTCCCATCCTCATAGTTCAGGTACTCTGGACAGAGATGAAGGAGAACCACCTGCTCAAATCACATTCTTTCCCTTTGTGACCTTCAAACTCTCCTTCCCTTTTCTTCAAACTCAACAGTGGATATCCAGCAACATGGTACCTTAAGTAGCTGATCTACAGAGAACCCAGGAGTCCCTTCCTATAGATTTGGGCCATTTTGCTTATACTTAACACAGTTATTTTGGCACTATTAATTTCTTCAGGTTATTGTTTCCTTCCTCTAGGTGAAGTTCTCATGTTTTAATTATTTCCTATTTCATCTCAACTTCTAATTCTAGACCTAACTTTCTCGGATCTTCTTCCCAGAACTCCCTCAGCCCTCATTCCCTAGTACCATCCCATCTGCAGTCTTCTGGGAGTACTTACCTGTAGCAATGAGGTACTTGACCAATGTATAATTGTCCTCAGCTCCGAGGGCTGAACAAGGAAAGACTAAGCCATGAAAGGGAACATTGTCTTTGGCCATGAACTGGTAAAGGTCCACCTAGAAGAATTATAGTTGAGAGCTGAGGATTTAGCTCAGTGGTTCCACTGCCTGCCTCACAAGCACAAGGTCCCAAATTTGATCCCTGGTACCAAAAACAAACAATATAGTTGAGAGATAGGTCTCCTGAAGTTTTCTTCAAAAGCCTAAGATATACCAGGTGATCATAACACCACCACTCCCCACCCCACACCTTCCTCACTGACAAGCTAACCAAGAACTGCTTACTTGCTCTGGGTTCTTCCACCATCTCTCCCATTGGTCTGTGTAATTGGCTGTGATGGACAGGTAGCCAATAGTGGCATCAAACCAGACATAGAATACCTGTAAAATAAAGAGGAAGGAAACATGGTAGGGACCAACCCAGAGCATCAGAGGGCAATAAGACATAATCTACAGTCCATTCTGTTAGTCCATAGTCTCAACCCTAAGGTGAATAATTTGGGACTGAATAAAGAATTTTTACCTTGTCCTCAAAACCTTCTAAGGGTACAGGGGTCCCCCATTTGAGGTCACGGGTTATACAGCGTGGCTTGAGGCCATCCCGAAGCCAAGACCGGATGATAAACCGGGCATTGGGTGTCCAGTCACTGCCAGGTAATGTCTTCCCCAGCCACTCCTCCAGTCGCTTTTCCAGCTGAGATGACAGAAAGAGAGGGTAGGCTTAGTCTCAAATACAGTTAACACAAAGACATATATAGCTGTTTGGGAGAACAGTTCGACAATACATAAAAGACTCAGGACTTTGACATAGCAATTCCATTTCTAGGGATTTACTAACACAAATTCATTCAACAGAAGTATTCACGCTGTATACAGAAGGGTCAGGTGTGGTGGTGCATGCCCTTAATTCCAGCACTCTTTTAAGAGTCAGGCAGGAGAATGGAAAGTTCAAGCCCAGCCAACTTAGCAAGTCTATGTCTCAAAATAAAGAAAAGGGACTGGGGATGTATCACAGAGTAAAGGTCCTGGTTCAATCCACAGTGCCACAAAAGAAAAAGGGTAGAGTGGGTGAAGGGAGGGCAGGGGTATGTATGGGGAAATAATAAGAACCAAGATACATCATGTATAGGTACAAGATCCCAATGATGAATGTAACTATACTGTATACCTAAAAAGTACCAATAAAGGGCTGGGGATTTAGCTCAGTGGTTCTACTGTGTTCCTTGCAAATGCAAGGACCCAAGTTCGAACCCTGGGAC